TCAAAACTACAGTGAGATACCATCTCACCCTGGCTAAAATGACACTGACAAAAACAAACAAAAAACCAAAAAATCCAGAAAACAATAAATGTTGGTGAGGATGTGGGGATATTGGAACCCTTCTCCACTACTGGTGGTCTGTAAAGTGGTACAACCACTATGGAAAACAGTATGATACATCCTTAAAAAACTAGAAATAGCAATCCCACTTGTAGGTATATATGCTAGAAATCTAATAGAGACATGAACAGACATATGCACACTTATGTTCATTACAGCACTATTCACAATAGCAAAAAGCTGGAAACAACCTAAGTGTCCATCAGTGGATGAATGGATAAACACAATGTGGTATGTCCATACAATGGAATACTATGCAGCCATAAAGAATAATGATGAATTCTTGAAACATAACATGGATGAATCTGGAGGACATTTTCCTGAGTGAAATAATTTCATTACAAAAGGACAAATATTGTATGATCTCACTTTTATAAGAAGACAGTAATAGATATATATAGAGACCAACATTCATTGATAGTTACCAGGGATGGGTGGGAGGGGGAGGGGAAATTACTCTCTAGATAATAGACACTTGTTACTTCTGGTGATGGGAAAGGCAGCACCAAATGTGGGAGAAGTGCACACAGCTTGACCAAGGTAAATGTTGTTGTGGATTGAATTGTGTTCCCCCAAAATGTATGTCAACTTGGCTAGGCCATGATTCCCAGTATTGTGTGATGGTCCTCTATTTTGTGATCTGATATAATTATCCTATGCATGGTAAATCCTAACCTCTATGATGTTAATGAGGTAGGATTAGAGGCAGTTATGTTAGTGAGGCAGGACACAATCTACAGGATTAGGGTTGTATCTTGAGTCCATCTCTGAGATATAAAAGAGAAGCGAGCAGAGAGGAGGGGGACCTCCTACCAACAAGAAAGAAGAGTCAGGAGTGGAGCATGTCCTTTGGATCCAAAGTCCTTGCCCTGAGAAACTCCTAGACCAGGGGAAGATTGTTGACAAGGACCTTCTCTTGGAACCAACAGAGAGAAAGCCTTTCCCTGGAAGTGGCACCTTGATTTTGGACTTCTACCTTCCTAAACTGAGAGAGAATAAATTTCTGTTTGTTAAAGCCACCTGCTTGTGGTATTTCTGTTATAGCAGCACTAGTTAATGAAGATAGAATTTGGTACCAGGAGGGCGGTGCTGCTCTAACAGATACCTACAATGTGGAAGTGATTTTAGAGTTGAGTAATGGGTATAGGCTGGAAGAGTTTTAAGGTGCCTAATAGTGAAAGCCTAGATTGCCTTGAAGAGACTGTTGGTAGAATTATGGATGTCAAAGGCAATTCTGGTGAAGGCTCAGAAGGAAGTGAGGAAAGCTGTAACACCAGAGATGGCACAGATGGTGAGAAGCTGCGGCAAAGAATTGGTGGCAGCAGAACCAGGAAATTGGCATGAGATCGTGCGGGAGCCAACCCATGGAGTGAGAGAGCTGAGTGCCTTCAGACAGAAGGCTTCCTGGCTGAGTGGTATGCCTCTGGGCACTTGTCAGCAGAGCTAGGCTTACCGATCCACAGAGCAAGAGAGCTGAATGCCTTCAGACAGGAGGCTTACTGGTAGAGTAGGGTGCCTCTGGGCACTTACTGGTAGTGCTAAAGAGCTTTGTAACACTTGGCCGTGCAGGGCAGAGGGTCAGCTGGCTCAAGAGGCCTGAGGGACTGAGAGGCCAAGGAACCAGGAGACAGAAGGTGAAGAGACAAGAAGCACAGGAAACAGAGCTACATCAGTCTCAAAAGGTGGGGCCATAACCTCTGGGGTCTCAAAGGATAGAACCATGGCCTGCTGGGTCTCAGAGCATAGGGCCATGGCCTCCTAGGTTTCAAAGAGTCAGATCTTCACTGACTCAGTTCTGGAGTGTGGGGCTGCTGTTCATGAGTACCAGAGGGATGGAACTGAATCTGCTGTTTAAAGCAGAGGAGGTGGGGCTGCCATACCCAAAGGGCAGAAGAATGGGGCCTGCCAGGGCCAAGGGGGTAGGGTCACCACTTAAACTAGGAGAATGGGGCCACCCAAATAAGGGAGCATAGCACATCTTTTGGAGCTGGGGTCCCTGTGCTGAGAAACTCCTAGACCAGGGGAAGATTGATGACAAGGACCTTCCCCCAGAGCCGACAGAGAGAGAAAGTTTTCCCCTGGAGCTGGCACCCTGAATTTGGACTTCTAGTCTCCTAAACTTCGAGAGAATAAATTTCTGTTTGTTAAAGCCATCCACTTGTGGTATTTCTGTTATAGCAGCACTAGATAACTAGGACAGCTGTCACTAAGAATTATGCAAGAGAAAAAGATGTTTTTAGTAAAGGATATGAGAAATATAATTTTCCAATAACCCCAACAACATCCAAAATATGTGTGTATGGTTACATACACATGTATAGATGCATATATGTTTATGCCATGTATATGTGTACATATATGTGCAAAGATAGATGTATCTATATGTTTATGTATATACATGTGTGTGCATGCATATATATTCATATTATAATAAACCACATAGAGGGTACGGTTATGGATACTTCATAGACATATCCAAATACCTCACAAGATTAGTTTCCTGGGTTTGAAAGATTAAGACCATAGTCTAGTGGGCCATTTCTGTCAACTGGCATAATATAGTTCATAAAATTTATGTTCTACATCTTAGTTTGGTGAGTAGTATCTGGGATCTTAGAAGCTTGTGAGTGGCCATCTAAGATACAACTATTGGTCTTTACTCATCAGGAGCAAAAAAGAAAGAAGGAAACCAAAGACTCAGAAAAAAAATTAGTCTATAGGACTAATCGTCTACATGAAACATGGCCTTGTCTACCCTGAGACCAGAAGAACTGGATAGTGCCTGGCTACCAGTACTGACAACTGTTCTGATCAGGGACACAATAGTTGGATCCTGATAGAATTGGAGCAAAATGTGGAACAGAACTCAAATTCTTACAAAGTCCAGACTTACTAGACCGGTTGAGACAAGAGGACTCGTTGAGACTATCACCTGGAGATACTCTTTAAACCTTGAACTGAAACTATCCCCTGAGATCATCCTTCAGCTAAATAACAGATTGGCTCATAAAATAAAGAATATCACCTGTGAGTATAACTCCTTTAAAAAATATTTAAAAAATTTAAATTTTAAAATAAAAAAAAAAATTAAAAAACCTATGTGAGACCAAATGGTCAAGTATTACTCTAAAACAAAGATGAGAAGGTAAGGGGGCAAGGAAACTAAATTACTAGAAATGGAAAAAACAAAACAGAATTAACAACAATGTTGACACATTGTGAAAGATGTGACTAATTTCACTGAACAATTTGTGCAGGAATTGTTAAATGATTACCTAATATGCTGTGTAAACTTTCACCAAAAACACAATAAAATATTATTAAAAAAAGAAGAAAAAATTCTATTAGCCGTGATAAAAAAGTAAAAAGAAACAGTTGAATTTAATTTTATTAATATATTTT